TTTTCAAAATTATTTTGGTTTTTCCTTTTTTGTGCCCACATCCCGGGGAAAAAAATATTTTTTTAAATATATTTTCAGTAATAACTACGGGTTCAACTGAACCCATAACTTTCGACGCAGAGTAAAAATTTGTATGTAAAAATTCATTAAAAATGTAAAAAAAAAATAGATATGAACCCATAATATTTAAAAATATAATGGGTTCTTTTGTTCCACTTTGACACAAAAACTTTTATCCCAGGCAAAAATACAGCGCGGACAAATACCCAGCTGCTACCCCCACCACCCGCATTTTTTTTTTTGTAATTTCAAATTATTATTTTTTCGTTTTTTCTGCCCCCTCTCGTGGAAAAAACATTTTTATATATATATTTTCAGTAATAACTACGGGTTCAACTGAACCGATAAATTTCGATGCGGAGTAAAAATTTGTATGTAAAAATTCATTAAAATTGTAAAAAATAGATATAAACCCATAACTTTAAAAATATAATAGGTTCAATATTAAAAACATTAAAATTGAATCCATATGATTTAAATTTTGGATCCGCCTCCACGTTAGGAGTATGAAAAATAGTCAGCTTTTGTGTCAATGTGGAACAAAAGAAATGGGGTTGGAGGGCCAAAATGGAACAAGGCTGAGTTAAAGTGCCAAAATAAAAAATTGGGCCAAGTTTAATGGGTTGTGTATGTATTTGGCCATGGAAATTTGGCTGAAAAATGGTCCCTCACGCGCCTAAAGGGGGAGGCAAATCACACACTAAATCTAGTGAGCTTGTGTTAAAGTGGAACAAAGAAAATGAAGTTGGAGGGCCAAAATGGAACAAGAGTTAGTTTGAGTGCCAAAATGAAATATTGGGCCAAGTTTAATGGGCTGTGTATGTATTTGACCCAGGTGAAAACTAGCAATGACAAAATACTTCCAAAAACATGTTAAGAATTTTAGAGCCCGTTTGGACATAAGAAATTTTTTCTTTTTTCCAAAATTTTTTTTTTTTCAATCAGCGGTTATTCATAAAATTTCAAATTTTCACTTAAAGATGCATTTTGGAAATTTCCGAAAATTTAAAAATTCCAAAAAACTGTTTTTCAAAATTTTCATTCACAAAACTTCAAAAACAACCCAAAATTATATTAATTTTCAAACACAACTCTAAATTCAAATATCATTTTTACTTGAAAAGAGCTTTCACCCTGTTTTAGAATTTTATAATTCTTATGTCCAAACGCCCACTTAGTTATCATCTCAGGTTGGAACCACATATAAGATGAGGCCTCAATAAGATTTACGTCCAATATTATTAGAACTTCATCATCCATCAAAAGAAAATGGAAAATCGTCTACTCTAGTGGTGAGCACATGGAATAATGTGGGACCATGGTTTGATGATGAACGATTGAACATGACATGAGTTGACTGGTCAAAATTTTCCATAATTCAAATAAAACAACTGACTCAAAAGTTAAAGGGGACTGTTGTGGAATGTATAGAAAAAAGAGCCTCGATTTGCAATATATATTAAACAATAATTTTAGCATCTCTTGTGAAGAAAAGAATCTGCATGCGTCTGGATTCCCATTTCTTGGCTTCACTATAATGCAACAAGTAGTGATTTAATTTTCAGAACGTTCTAATCAGATCAGGAAATCAAACATAAGATTTGCCTTGTGCTTCGTGCATGCGCAGGTCATTGGAAAACGTTGTGTTCACTTGACACTTTGGAAAAATGCATTCTAATTGCCAATATTTTATCCATCAAATTAACGCTTTCTTAGTATTCACTGTTCTAACAGGCAGGAAGGTAGAATTGTTAGTATCCATCTAATTTTAATTGTTATATTTATTCAAATTAATTTTTCCAACAATATTTATCGTTTTTAAAAAAGAAGAAGAGAAAATTGATTTTTTCACTTTTATGAAAAGAGATTAATGTGACGATTAAAAAGTAATAGTAAACAAAAAATAATAATAAATTAAGGTAATTTAATTATATTATTTTAATTAATATTTTTTAAGAGACATGCAGAAGAAGACACTGCTAAGTAAATAAAATCAGGGTGTACTTTTGAAGGCATATAGACTAATCTCGAAAAAATAACTCTCTTGATTTTCTCGAATTTTTTAAAACATCCTTCATATTGCGATGAGTTGCTTACCTTTTAAAACATTAAACTCATTAAATTAGCTAAAGAACAGTAATTCATCGACTAAATTGGTGCTTGTAATGCAACTAATAGGTGCTCCTATTTTATCTCACTGGTCCTGGCTCTGTGTCTGCTTAGTTACCTCGAGTAGTCCATGGTAAAGTTTTAAGGTCATCTTTTACCAATAATAGTTATATATATATATNATATATATATATATATATATATATATATATATATATATATATATATATATTTCCTTGATCTTTTCGTAGTCATTTTTGTGGTCAAGTACTTGAAGGAAGGAGCATTTTTCGGTAGCTTCCTTCAACTCCAAGTATTCTCACATATGCCAACCTTAGGTACAAAGATTAACTTAAAGTTGAATAAGCAATATATAAAGCCAATTGAATCCCAAGAATTTACATGTGCCCCTTCTTCTCCAACTACATCATCATATCATCTTTAATTGATTGATTGTTTAATTAAAAATTAATTTTATAGTATGATTTCACATATGCCAAAAAACATATCAAGGACAACTGCAATCATAGTAGTTCACACGGAAGTTAAGCTGCACCAACCCTTTAGTATAATTAATCATATCATAGGACAAATCAATTGTCCAGCTAGGTCGTTACGTTATGATTTTATTTTTTGTCCAGAGAAATAATTAAAATTAAGTGGTTGTATGGTCACTTTTTTGTCAAACATGCTATACTTCATCGTAAAACAAGCCTTAGAATAGAAAATGGGCATTGTTAGCCATTTGTTTGACTACTAATTATGTACGAGGTTGGTGTCTAGCTCTGGCCTCACTAATTCTTAAAGATCTTGATCCATTAGCATTATCATTTTACGTCTAAAATGATCAATTTAGTATCCAACAATTAGTTTTTGTTTTCTTTTGGTAACAGCTATAACTGTTTTAACCTTTTGTTTTCAAAATTATGATGACTGGTCAATTAACTAGATATTAAAAATTAGAAAAAGCAAAACTATCAAATTTGACTATCGTACTTGTAACAATTTTCCATTTTAATTTCGTCCAATTTTGTGAACAATATTTTTCATACAAATTAAGGACGTAAATCTTTTTGTTGATGAAGACTGGATATTGGCTCGATTGAAAAGAGAGAAGAGAAATGAACCAGAAGGTTCTAGAACAAAGGCTCCATCGGAGAGCAAATGAGCCGAAAATTATTTTCTCAAATCTAACTGAATACAATATCATGTGGCTAATATATATACATTACAACTAACAGCTACGCTAACCAATCTTACTTCTTCTGCTAATTCTCTACCACCAAATCCCATAATTAGTTATAACTAACTTCCTAACTAATCCTACTGACTCACGTGACACTCACGTGCTACTCCTCTCTTCAATACTCCCCCTCAAGCTAGGTGGTGCAAATAGATTGAGCACTCCTAGCTTGCTCATCAAGTACTTGTGTTGTGATCTCCCCAGTGCCCTTGTGAACAGATCTGCTTCTTGATCCTTAGACATCACATATATACTTGGTTCTGACAATCCCTTGTTGAATCCTTTCTCTGATGAAGTGTAGGTCTATCTCTATGTGCTTTGCACGCTCATGAAATATGGGATTTGCAGCAATTTGAATTGCTGCTTTGCTGTCACAATGCAACTTCACTGGCAATTCAACTTCTGCACCCAGTTCTTTACAAAGTCCTGTCAACCATAAGATATCTGCAACTCATGATGCCATGCTTCGGTATTCTGCCTCTGCTGAGCTTCTCGAGATTGTGCATTGCTTCTTGGATTTCCATGACACTAATGACTTTTCCAGTTTCATCACATATCCTATTACTGATCTCCTGGAAACTGGGCATGATGTCCAATCAGCATCACAAAAGGCTGTAAGCTTTGTGGACTGTTTAGAGCTCATTAACAACCCCAATCCTGGAGCACCTTATATCTAACAACCCTGACTGCAGCTTCCATGTGAGATTTTCGTTGGACAGTGCATGAACTGACTTAGTACATGAACTGCATAACATATATCTGGTCTAGTCATGGTGAGATATAGTAGCTTCCCAACTAACCTCTGATATGGTCCTGAGTCTGCCAGCTTCTCATCTTCTTTCCAGTTCATATGCTGATCATACTCCACAGTGGTGAATCTATAGTTGCATTCCATTGGTGTGGTCACTGGTTTTGACCCTGCTAATCCAAGTTCAGCAATTAACTCCATTGTAAACTTTCTTTCATTCATCAATATTCCTTCTTTGGACCTTGCTATCTCAATCCCAAGGAAGAACTTCAATTCCCCCAAGTCTTTGATTTTGAAATTACTCTGCAGTATAGCTTTTGCCGCAAAGATCAGTCCCTGATCATTCTAGTTATGAGAAGATCATCTACATACACTAAGATGATTACTAGTTTTGTCTCTTGATTTTTTGTGAACAAAGAGTAATCAAAGTGACTCTGCACAAAACCTGAACTGAGTAGTGCCTCAGTTAGTTTTAGGTTCCATTATCTTGAAGCTTGCTTTAGACCATACAGGAATTTATGCAGTCTACATACTTGCTCCCCCTGGCTGGGAAATCCATGAGGTAAACACATATAGACCTCTTCAGTGAGGTCTCCTTGTAGAAATGCATTATAAACATCCATCTGATGTAGGTTCCAGTTGTTTGCTGCTGCCAAAGCTAGAACCACTCTTACTGTCACCATCTTGACTATAGGAGAGAATGTTTTCCGATAATCTAGCCCTTCTATTTGATTGTATCCTTTGGCTACTAGTCCTGCCTTGTATCTTTCAATCTCCCCATTGGCCTTATACTTTATCTTGAACACCCACTTACATCCAATAGGAGCCTTCTCTGTTGGTAAGTCTACCAAAGTCCAAGTCCCATTTTCCTTGAGTGCATTCAGTTCTTGAGTCATAGCATCAATCCATTTGGGGTCTAATGCAGCTTTCTTGTAGTTCACAAGCTCCCTAATGCTGGTAATCTTGGACAAATAGGACTGGTATTTAGCTAATACTCCTGCATGGCTCAAATAGCTTTGCATTGGATACTGGCAGACCTGACATAATCATGCATCCACATAGGCTCTTTAGCAGTCCTAGTTGATTTCCTGAGCTAGTTTTTGTATAGGGTTAAATGTGTCTTGTTCTGAAAGAAGTAGTTGTTGAGTCTGTGTGTCTTCAAGGGGCAGGGAATATGGTGATGAAGATTGTGCATCAACAGCATGGTTATCTGCAATAGGTGGTGCTGTTGGAAAGGACGTGTCATCATCTGGTGATCATGCTGGTTCTGGGACATCTGCACTATGAGGTGGCACTACATCAGTAATGGCAGGAGAGTTTAGCATACCGTTAGGAAGGAGCTGTAATTTTCCTTCCTTAAGTAACTGGAATGGGAAGATCTTTTCCATAAACTTGACATCCCAGCTGATAAAGAAAGAGTAAGTTAAAATGTTATACAGCCTGTAACCCTTCTGGGATGATGAGTATCCCATCAACACAACCTCAACTGATCTAGCTGCAAACTTGTCTCCTTTTCCTACTGTCTTAGCAAAACATAAACACCATATGGTTCTCATATGCTGTAGAGATGGTGTTCTCCCATACAACACCTCAAAGGATGACTTTCCTAATAACACTAATAGAGGCAGTCTGTTTATCACATAAACAGCTGCCTGTATACATTCCCCCCAAAACTTGAGAGGCAAAAAACCTTGCAATCTGATTGCTCTAGCCACTTCCAGTATGCGCCTTTGCTTTCTTTCCACTACCCCATTTTGCTGTGGGGTGTGGACACAAGAACTTTAGTGGATCATCCCATAAGACTGAAACAAACCATTGCATTCAGAATTAAAAAATTCTGATCCATTATCATTCCTTGATATTTTCACAGTTACATCAAATTGAGTCTTTATTAAGGCTAGAAATTGTCTCAAACATACAACCGCATCACTCTTGAGCCTCAGCAAGTAAATCCATGTCCTTTTACTACAGTCATCTACTATAGTAAGAAAAAATATATGCCCACTATGAGTTTGTACTCTATATGGACCCCAGACATCTACATGAATCAACTAAAAAGGTTTACTTGATCTGTTTGCACTCTTAGGTAAAGGCAATCTGCCTTGTCTAGCCAAAGGACAGATTGTGCATTCCTTTATTCCATCACGTACTAGCTTTGAACTTTATGTTTGGAATCTGTTTTACCACTCTATTTGGAGCATGCCCAAGCCTTCCATGCCATGCTTTTAAATCCTCCTCTTGCATAGAATGATCCTGAAGGTGTACAGCTGCAGCCATGGCTTCAAGTTTTTGATGCTGCAAGTTGTACAAACCCTCCAGCTCCTTAAATCCCCTTCACCTTCCCATTGTGAAGGTCCTGCATTTTCCAAAAATCAGGATAAAAGGATATAAGGCATCTTAAGTCCCTTGTAAGCTTGGACACATATAGCAAGTTATATTTAAAGTTTGGAATATACAGAACATTCTTAACAACACTGCTTTCACCAATTCTACTCTCTCCAGTACATTCAACTCAAGCGAGGTCCCATCAGGTAAGTATACCTTTGGTTCATTGCCTAAACTACCTGTGTTTATCTTGTCAAGCAGCTCTCTGGTGTGAACCATATGATTGGTTGCACTAGAGTCTACTATCCAATTCTCATTTTTACCTGTTTCATTTGTGACAGAAGTCTTTGTTGTACCTGCAAAGCCTTTTGTGTTTTCACTTGTGTCCTTATTGATCAACTTCAAGATTTGATCATACTACTCCTGAGTGAACATGATTGGTATTCCTTGTGCTAGATTGGCAGTAGGTGGGTTCATCATCTATTGCCCTTCTTGTGACACTACATTGGCCATCTACTTTGTCATTGACTGTTGTTCCTCTTGTGTAGTTGCATTAGCCATAGGTCTTTGAGGAAAAGTTGTTGCTTGAGGTAAACCTATTGCTTTTTTCCTCATTTTGTAGTCAGTTGGGTATCCATGTAGTTTGAATCAGGTATTTCTTGTGTGCCCTTTATAGTTGCAGTAGTCACAAAACAGATTCCTTCTCCTGGGCTTCTACTCCCTCCATTTCATATTAGATGAGGTAGTTTGACTCGGCATGGAGTTTAAGAAGAAAGAAGAAGACTTTTGAAACTTGTGGTCTTAAAAGCTTAAGGGGTAAAAGGTTTGTGGGGCCATGCCATTTGTGTGGCTATAAAAGCTTCTCATTAAGGGTAAATGGGTAAAATGAAGAGTTCAAAGTTTGAATTATTTCTAAATTTAGAAATGTGTCATTTGTTTTGGAACAGTCTAAAAAGGAAAGTACCTCATCTAATATGAAACGGAGGGAGTAGTTATTTCCTGAGTTCATTCCTTTATTGGTGAACAATGTTGGTCCATCTGCTATGTCTACATCCTGGGAAAACTTCCCTAAATCTCTTTGGCTTTCTTCAGAGATGTTGACTGTGGGCACCGGACTTATCATCAAAATCTGGCTTCTAGGTTGGCCATACGTCTCATTCAACCCCATTAGGAACTGTAACAACCTTTGGTACTCAAAATAATCGAAATAGTTCTTAGATTCTGGGAAATCACACCCAGAGCAAGGCATCAAGGCATCATAGTCCTCCCAAAGGTCTGTCAACTTAAAGAAATATGCAGACACTAAGGAAATTCCCTGCGACAAAGTAGCAATTTCTTTGTGCAAGAAGAAGATGCGAGATCCATCGACTTTATCATACTTATTCTTCAAATCTGTCCAGACTTTATGAGCACTAGATTTATAACCAATTCCACTGAGTAACTCCTTGCTCAAAGCATTCATAATCCATGACAAAACTATCGCATTAAATTTCTCTCAAAGTTCATGCAAGGATCGATCAAATTTGTCCTTAGTACATCGGCCATCAACAAAATCTAGCTTACTCTTACCAATCAGACCTATTTTCATAGATCTACTCCACAATGCATAATTTTCAGTCCCAGTCAGTTGAATAGAAATCAAGGAACTACCTGGAGTGTCGCAACGCTGTAGATACAATGGATGATGATGATCTATGGTCGTTCCTGTTGAAGTTTCTTCTCCAATTGCCATAGCTGACATATTCAGTCGAATTAACTCTTCGCTTCAACGAATTACAGACTCGCTAATTGCAAATCGAAAAACAAACCTAGGTTAATCGATCGAGAAAAGCTCGAACAATCAGCAACAGAATAGCTCTGCAAAAGCAGAGGAGATCAATCACATCGAGCATGCATCTAGCTCACGTGCTCTGATACCATGATGAAGATTGGATATTGGCTTGATTGAAAAGAGAGAAGAGAAATTAACCAGAAGGTTCTAGAATAAAGGCTCCATTGGAGAGCAAATGAGCTGAAAATTATTTTCTCAAATCTAACTGAATACAATGTCATGTGGCTAATATATATACACTACAACTAACAGCTAGGCTAACCAATCTTACTACTTCTACTAATTCTCTAACACCCAATCCCATAATTAGTTATAACTAACTTCCTAACTAATCCTATTAACTTACGTGACAGTCACGTGCTACTCCTCTCTTCAATATTTGTCTCTTTAATAATAAAAATTCATTCACAGAAAAATAAATAATTACAGTACAAAGTAAAATATGTGAAACAGTGAATAGTGCGAAGAAGGCCGAGAAAAGATAAATATTCCACCAAAAATTGTAATAGATAAATAGAATCTCTTCATTCTATTTTAGATTTTCAGGTTCGAGCCCGAATTATGCTAAAACAAATCTGAATTAATTGAAACCCTAATAAGCTAACTGATAAAAAACATACAAACAAAAAAAAGGAAAAACAAACGCAACGACGTGGAGCCGGGGACATGGCTGAGTGGCATGGTTGGTGGTATTAGGGACCCAACAGATAATGGCAAATGTTCGGATTAGAGCATGGCTAATGCCTATCTGACGAATAATTCAGTTTCAAGGAAGAACAGAACCACTGTCAAATCAGACATTTCATGATGGAGCCCACTAGTTCTCCCTCTTCAAGTAAGGAATAACCCCCTCTTCTAGGGCATTCTATAGGTAGGTGACAAAAATTATATGGGTTTCTTTTCGTCTAAAAATTGTTTTATTATTATTGGAAAATGAAATTGATAAAAAAAAATTACGGCACAAAATAAATTTTTGATATTATTTACTTTTTAACAAGTCTTCGTAACTATAAGAAATTTTATCACTCAACTTTTCTAGTTATACGTGATATTTTCTTATTAAGATAATTTTGGAGCGTTACTTCAATATTTTCTTTCACTAATATTAATATAAAATAATAAGTCAAATCGATGTTTTAAATTCTATTAAATGTTATGTTAAAATATGTGATTTATTGAACCTTTATTTATTGATTTCAATTATCATAAATTTGAACATTTTGATTATTCAAAAATGTATTTATTGGATAAGTAATTTATACCCAATCACTTTGTATAGCATAATTTGTTGGAGATTAAAGCACAATTGCAAATTGGAAAATCTCATACTGAGTATAGCTTACGTAAGAATACATGGAATTATATGCAATAATTGGAACTTGCCGTACATATCTACTCATGAACGTTGTATCACATATACTTCTATTTATTTACTCCTTTTCTTTTTGTTACGTTGTTGTTTTAAACTTATAGCCAGAAAAAAGTTGAATACTTTAGTCAAGAGAGGAGGTGTTAACTACTAACTAGGGATGAATAATCCAGCTCGTTCTAGTTTGACAAGTTTTAGTGGAACATGAGCTGTTCATTTGCATGCATATTCCTTAACTTACAAGCATCTTATGAAAATAACAATATATATTATCAAATCATGACTCTGATTCGGTTTTCTTTGTTTTTTTCTATTTCTACACGAGGTAAGAATGAAGGCATCACGTGCTGCACGAGGTCATGAAACAAACTCAAAGAGTCGGGCCGTGATGAACAAATAATAATGGGCCACAGAAAACGCTGAAGTAGTGACATGAACATTGGGAACTCAAACTATACAAATTGGCATTCTAAGTGCTCAAGTTCGAATATTGAAAT